GCGCGAGAGTCCGGGTGGGAGATTGTCGGGGCAGAGAAGAACGATATTGAATAGATCGCCTCCACGCATAGTATATGAGACTACATGAGTACCCGAGCCAGCCCAGAAATTGACCGAGTGGGAATCAATAAACGCAGTAAGCTTCTCGGCATCCGGTCCGTTTAATGTAGATTTATCAATCACAATTCTATATGCGAGATCTCCAGTTGGATTTGGCGGACATTCGTGGCCTAGAAATTGTGATCGCGTAGCCGAGTAAATGCCATCTGTACAGAGTATAACATCTCCTTCCACCGTTTTCCCCCCTTCTAATGTAATAATTGTATTTTCAAAATCGACACTCTTGACTCTGGATGATAGACGAATGGTGACGCCTAGCTCATCACATTTAGCGCACAGAGCACGTTGTAGATCCACTCGATGCATTCCCCAAAAAGGAGCTCCATATCTCTCATTTATCTTTTCTTGAAAATCTGGCGAATATGCTAAACGTTTTGTTCCATCAAATCGCCATACCGAGAGAGTTTTTGGGAATGTGGCTTTGGGAGCGAGATCATCGTAGATTCCCCATTTCTTGAAGAGTCGAGATGCATTGGGTGTTATTTGTAACCCTGCCTATGAAATTGATCAGTCTGGCTGCATAGATGGAAAATAATGGTATTGGAATGTTTCTCTTACCCCGACTTCAGCTAATTCTGATACAGTTTCCAAAATTGTTACTTCATGCGATGGATTCGCGAGTTTTGTGGAAAGTGCCGCTGCTAGACCGGCCAATCCGGCTCCAACCACCAAAACACGAAGGGGCATCTTATTCTCTGTAGAATCTGTTCTACCTGGCATCGAATGCTTCGGAATTTTTATATGCCACGAGGTAAAATGTTGTGCTTCTGCTCGTATTACGTCTACCCCGCAGTATGATTGGAGATTCAGCGACGAGTTCTGAGAGAATATGCTTCTTGTGATATAGGATGGGAACGTTCAAAAGCAGGAAAGGCAATGGTATCAAATCAAAAAGAACAAGAAATCAGATAACAATATATATATACATAGAGACATAACTAAACAAAATAAATAGCACCTACGACGATGTGGTTGACGAGAGTATATGGCGTGGCCTAGTGGACGAGATGTGGACGCGCTCGAAATGGCGGGCTGGCGGGGTGAAATCCCCTCATCCCCACAATTTAGGCCAATTCATCCCACTGCCTGGATCCAGATACTGTCTCGGAATCTGTTCGCGGCAAAAATTTCACGCAGATAGGAAATCTTGCATAGAAAGGTTTCGGCCTTCGGTCATTCGGTCGAGGAAATGAGGCCCGAGTAGAAACTTTCTTTAAATACCAAAACCTGGGGATCGTGGGACCCCTAACAAAAATGGAATGGGTAAGAAAGCACACAATGGATGGTCCTGGTTCCGTAAGAGAGTGCCGATATATGTAATATGTCATTATTCATTGGTATAAACCTAGAATCATCGTGAAAGATGAATGTCCAATTACACCCTTCTAGAAAGCCCCAACGCCATTGCTATGCAAGTAATTTCCAGATCATCGTCCCTCAACATCTTACTTAGTATCCTTTACTTTCGCTTCTAGCCTTCTTCTTCCTCCCCGCCTCTCCCGAGTCTATTCTATCAGAAAATCTTCTCCCAATCGGGAGTGACGATGAATTTGCCCATCACTTTTCCTAATCCAGTAGCGACACCTTCTGGTGCCTCGCCCTTAGGATCTTCAGCAAGAACGATTTGACTCAAAAAAGCAGCTGGTACACCGCGGCCTACTGCCATACTTGTTCCACCCCAATCCAGTTCTACCTTGCCGCTCTTCCTTACCACCAATTTTCCGATGTATCCTTGTTCACTAACCAATGCTTCATTCTTTTGGGCAAGATTGGGTTCAGTCTTGATGATAACTTCTTCCGATTCCTTTTTGATTCCTTTCTCTTTATCATCGGTAAGATCAATTTGTTCCGAAGATTGAGTGACGACAACATCATCCGAGTTTTCGACTTGAGGATTAAATAGTCGGGGTAGAACAGGTGGGAATTGAAATAGATAGATTCGACCGTCTGCATGATTGGCTTCTGGTTGAGCTTCATCTTGTTCCTGCTCTCCATCCATTCCAACATCTCCATCAACATCGACAGCCTTTCCTTTTCCTTTATCCTTAGTTGTTGTATCCACTGTTCCTCTCAACAGACGAAGTTCCTCAGCAAGGATGTCAACATCCTCAAGATAACGTTCATACTCGAACTTATCCTCTTCCGTTTGTATGACTGGCATTTTATCCTTCTTTCTGCTAGGTCGTACCTTGGATTGTTGTGGTGAAATAGGCTCCCTCTTAGGATGCTTTTTATTTTCAGGGGAAGATGGTGCTTTAAACTCTGGAAATTTCGACATAGTTGGAGATTCAAGCCCAGGTTCTCCTTTCGTTCTTAGCTCATCCGTTGCTGTTGTCCCATCTATCGTCATCTCGACATCTTCGCCAGAATGAATATCCTCCACTTCATCGGCTTGCTTCTTGGCTATCTCTGCAAGTTCTGGATCACTAACCATCATATTGGAACGTTCCTTATGTTCTTCACGCTTGATCCGGATCGGTGCGAGAGATCGTGATTTAAAACCACCATTCCCGCCTCTGCCAGAGCCCACCATTTCATCATCATCGTCAACCAGATTAATCATTTCGATATTGACTTTCCTCGCTTGTCCGTCGTCGTCGGGATATTCTGGATTGAAAGTGGCCATGTTTTCGGCTGACAGCACATTTACTCCCCCTCCATTTCCTGATCCAGAACCTCCATAACCACCACTTCCTCCACCACCGCCGCCACCACCTCCTCCTCCTCCTCCGAATCCGGCACCACCGCCGCCGCCACCACCGCCTCTTGTATTTGCAATTGCAAAGCCATCCATGCCACCCTTTCTGTCTGTAAATAGAAATTAGTAGAGTTGGCAAGCAATTAGCGATTGACTTACCCATTGCTGCCGGCGCAACACTAAAAATACCAGTAGCACTTGAAATTGGAGCTCCCCTTCCTGCGCCACGGTTTTGTCCCATCGCATCTCCTCTACCTCTTCCAATGTGACCTCTTCCTCTCTGGGACCTGCGAGCTTCCTTTTCTGCTTGTGCCTGATTTGCCGCGATTCTATCCCTCTCCTCTTGTTCTAATCTATCTCTATCTGCTTGATCTCTTCTGATATTTTTGGGCTTAAACCTGGCTCTTCCAGTAGTAACTTCACCTCGCGCCCTTGTACTTGCCCCGCCGCGTCCTCTTGCACTCGCACTTTCTGTTCTTGATGGAAGTCTCGCAGAGGTAGTCGCAGCTGTTGGCGCAGGGGTACCAGCAGGTGTTTCGGCAGGTGTTATTGCAGGTGAGGTATTTGGATCGAATGCATCGTCACTGGGTTCGATTTTTGGAACGATGGTGGCAGTCGATTGTGTCATTGGTGCCATCGGCGCAATCGGCGCAATTGGCGCAGGAGATTGACTAGGTTGAGAAGATTCATCAAGAACACCTCTAAGTTCTGGGGTCTCAATCTCTTCAATTGCGATTCCTCTTCCTCTTCCTCGTCCTCTACCTCGAGGTCTACCCCGCGAGGCAGCTCCCCTCTCTGCTTTTGGTGGCATATTTTGTCGTTTTATTGATCTGAATGAAGAGAGTATAAGAGTATCGTTGTCAACGCATTAGATTTGATATATCTATGAGGAATTATGAGGATAAATGATGTAGATCTAAAGAGCAACCATATGATACCAAAATTTTATGATTGCGACAAATATTTTAGAAGCTTCGAATATTCAAAGGTTTAATTGTAACGTTGGTGGGGCCCGACTTTTTTCTAATCCCAGTGACGCATGGGCTATCCTTGCGGATTGTGAGCATTAGTCAGCAGCATTCAATCACAGCCCATGCCATCTCTTCTCACTCACGTGCCACTCTCAACCTCGATACGACTCAAACCATCGCCATTATCGAGGTTCTTCTCGTATGCACCAAAGATATCACGGTGATAACGTTTCGAGGAGAAATAGAGAGTGTCGTGCGTGAATTTTGTGTGATTGTCAATCGGGTTCGATACATCTGAAGACTGAGAAGTCGATCCTGATCAAAAGCCCGCTGCATTAATATGGCAGAAATCATACAGGCACCAGTATTATTCGCTCTGACCAAAATGGCAGATCTACAATATCATTTTATGGGTGTAGCCCAATCTAAATGTCGTGGGTCTTTTGGGGTTCAGTCTACGAAGATTTGTGAACTCACAATGAAAATGACAAGATGGAACATTCCTCAACAAATCGTGGTTGAGAATCATCACATAACCTGTTGCACCGTTACCCTACCATGGAAGTGAGTACTTCCTCGCATTGCTATCTGAGATTCATTCAAGTACAATTGTTGGAGGACTCAAGTAGTTCGTTGTAAAGCCCACAATCACTTCTGCATTGCTCACAGCTTTCCGAATTCCTAAACCAGATAGATCCCTCGTTCTTTTCTAAAACATTGAGCATGAGTTTGATTCTGGACATTCACGTAACCTCTCCCTTTTAACTCTCCCTACCTGAATTAGACCGGAAATCCCCTGCGCGCGATTTCGGTAACTCATTGTCAAGTGAAAATATGTGGCCGTTGTGTTTTGAAGAGATATGTTTCAAAAATTACATTCCTTGGCGTTCAAAGTCGAATGTCATTCTTGAATTCTGGTCAACGTAATTCTTGGAGAGCTCCTTATTTTTCGCAAATTTATAGTTTATATGATCTCCTCTTCATATATTTAACAATTTTCTTTTCACACAACCTATCATCAAGATTTATTGAATTCATTTCCACTCAAGATGAAGGCATCTGATATCATTCAAGCCTCGATGGCTTTGGCTTTTCAAGCGCAGACTTCCATTACCGCGGCAGTGACTACTTTCTGTAGCAGCCAATGCTCTTCTAGTCGGAGGATGCGCTGGAGTTGCTCCGGAATATCAATTACAATGTTACAAAGATCAATGCCCTCAACCAACAAATGGACCACTCGGGTCCTCTTGTGCCTCTTATCCTCCTGCAAATCAGCTCTCATGCTACAAGTCAAATATCCCGAGCTAGCTACTCGAGTCACAACTAGTCAACCTGTTACTCAACAAACTTCGCCGCCTCTCATTGGTGGATGTCATGGGGTGGCACCTCAATATCAACTACAGTGCTATAAGGAAAATTGTCGCGAACCTGCTGGTCCTCCTGGATCATCATGTGCTTCTTACCCACCAGATTATCAGCTAGCATGTTACAAATCAAAATGCGATCCAAAGCCTGAAACGACAACCACCGTTGAGATAGCACTTCAATCTCCCGTGGGTGCCAGTGCAGGAAACGATTGTGATGGAGTAGCGCCAGAATATGAGTTAGAATGCTTTTACCACAATTGCCCTATGCCTGGACCTCCAGGATTCTCATGCGCCTCATTGCCTCCACAATATCAAATTGATTGTTACAAGAAGCGCTGCCATGAAGTTTACACTCCTCTTGCATCAGAACCGGCTCTACAAACGCCGAATTCCGTTCCAGAAACTCCCAGCCCTGCTCAACAAACACCTAATCCTGCTCAGCAGAGTCCTGGGTTAGATAGAGGCTGTATCAACGTAGCCCCCGAAAACCAGCTCGAATGTTACCGTAATAATTGTTTAATGTCGGGTCCTATCGGTTATTCGTGCGGTACTTTACCACTGGACTATCAACTACAATGCTATAAAGCACATTGCGATAACAATAACTCTCTTGGCGCCGAACTTCCTGTACTTCAAACTCTAGAGGGTGCATGCACAACCATATCTCCAGAAAATCAAGAAGAATGCTTCCAAAAAGAATGTTTTAAATTATTCTGTGCTTCACTCCCAGTGCAGTATCAACTTCAATGTTATAGACAACATTGTAGAGTCCCGGATATATCTGAGTTAGTCAATGGATTTGGAAATACTTGGGTGGAATATTAGATGGTTCTAGTGCGTCAGGAATTTCGGATGATGATCGTTCGAGTGCTTCTGGTAGCTCGGATGATGATGGGGCCAATGGTCAAGATAGCAAGGGAAAATCATTTCCAGATGTTTAAATTCTGGCAAGGTGATATATTTTAGTTCTCGCACTTCCATCTGATTTGCAATTGTTGGATCAATAATATTTACCTATTGATGTGATCTAGCTAGCAATCAAATACAGGTTTAAATACACGATACTATCATCACCTCTATTCATCGATCCATTCTTAACAAGCTCCGTTCTCAAAGTTCCTCTCGTCCCCAATCTACAATCGTAAACTTCAACCTGGCAAGACTTATAAGTTACATAAGTCAAATACACCCAACATTCCCACGTCATCTCATACGCCACATCCTTAACTCTACATGCACCATTCTTAACAAGCTTCGAAGAACTCGTTACTTGCTCCCCTTTCCTGCATTCCTTTATTCGATCGATGGCAGATATATACCCGGTCTTGGGTCGATCTTAGATCTAGATCTACATTCTTTATGCTATTCTAGGATCCTTAATCTTTACATTGAATACGTTGACGTTGACGAAGGGTCTTCCTGCGATTTGTATTTGTGGGTTGTGGTTCTTCGGTTACTGATCGTGAGGTTCACTAGTCTGCTATTCCTTCTATCTACCTAGATAATTAACTAATTAAACGCGATTTAATCTTTGCGTAGAGGTTCTTAAGTTTGTTGATTCTAGCTGTGTTACTACTGTGGGTAGGGATAGTAAGTATATTAATCGTAATTTTGCATTACGTATAATCTACGGGGTTATCTTTGTATATTTGCTGGGAGAATATATGATTCTTCCTGTTTTGAAATAATCGCGCTTTCATCTTCGTTGATGAACACCTGAATTTTTGTTGAGCGGGCTACCGCTCGAAGACACGATTGTGGGGGACAAATTTTCATTCGAGTATTTCTCCATTGTGAAGTACTGTAGGAAAATCAGTGAGAAGTTTTGATCCGATGCTTGATGTTTGTGAGGGACTAATATGTCCACTACAACTATACCCATCTGAGAATGAGAAATTTATCTGGTAATAAGAATGCCACTGCGATAAATTCATTAACACAATCATGATAGCAATATATCACAACTTTCTAGGTAGACATTGTGCTGAAAAGAGAGAAGAGATTTTATTATCGCCAAGTGGCATGAAGACATCAGCAGTACAAAATATGAATGATGCCGAAGCATTATCATCATAACTACTTGCATTCCTTCACAATGCTCGTCTTGGGTATCCATTTACAAGCTGCGTATCAACCACTTCAATATCATTATCCTTAATCCATCGGTCCATTTCCCATTCCATTCATACCCAGTCCACCCCATCACAGCCTTTGCAACAAAACCCAGCTCCAACATCGCCCAATCCCAATCCCAATCATCCTCAACCTCCACCACTCCACTCACTCATCCATGCCATATTCCGAGCCATTCAACTCCGGGTCGTTAGAGACTGATTCAAATCTCGGTTCATCTTTTGTCCAATCAACCATTTCAATGCATAGCCTCGAATCCAACTCAATGTCACACCCAACATCTAACGTTCTATCGTCTTCAAAAATCTCTTTCCTCGCCCTTCTCATTTCCATAAATTGTTTATCCAGATCATCTACCATTTTTTTTGAAAGAATTTGTGAAGAAGGCCCAATTCATCGCATCAAAAGCATCGGAAGTCTGTCTCATGAGGACGTTTCGGGGAAGATTGTTATTAAACGAAGTGTTCTTTCGAAGATTAGCTCGATGTTTGATTTGATCGATATATGGAAAATCTCTTTGAATTCCTTGTTCATATCTTTCCAGCAGTAGCATAGCCTCTGCTGCAATTGTGGGAGAGTGCCAATCTCGAGTAAGTTTGGGCGAAAGCATTCTATCCTTTCTCTTTTCGAACTTGATGAACTCCGTAATGTTAAAACATGCCAACTTTGCCCTCTGATATTGTGGTTCTAGATATTGTACAATGCTGGCTCGTTCTAATTTGAATGCTCTCGGATTGTATTGTGAGGACGAAAGAGTCTCTGCACGCCTAAGACCACTTTCTACGGGATGTGACACCTGAGTAGTTGGATCGTAGGGCCTGTGCATCCATCGATTGCTGCCAGAACACAATCCATAGTGCATCAGATATCTTCCTACGCTGCCAGTAGATGAGTGGCGCATTTCAGACCTGAAAGTATCAACCGTCTCAAACGCCTGTGCATAACGCAAGAGTCGAAGATACATTCCACGAGAGAGCTCTGCCACAGAGTTTCCCATCATAATTGATCTGAGTTGTTTTCTTGAATTGGAGGAAGGGATGATAGATCGACAGTCCTTGCCTGAGAAAGTATTGTATGGGTAAACATCTGGTAATTCTCCCAACTTGCATCTCGGAATTGAAGCTTTTTGACCCCACGTAGCATTTGTAAAGGTATGAGCATATCCTTCATATTTTGATAGATGACCTCGTCTCGGAACCAAAGTGTTTCCCCACACTTCTCCAGACCAATCGGTGCTAGTGCAATCTCGAGAGATATGGATGGGGACTGAGCGATGGCTTGACAAAAGTTTTCCATCGACCAAGTCCTCCTTTCATGCCACCCTCCCAATATATCCGGATCGATGAATGAACTGACAATAACTCTCCAGCGTTTAACTTTTGCCGCTGCTGGATGGTCAAATAGGAAAAGTTGACCGTGACTCAATCTGTTACAATGTCTTGTAATGGGTGTCATTTCTATGCCTCTATTAAATGCAAATCGGCTTGGACGACAATCTTGCGAGATCTCATATCTGCAGCAAGCAATGTAGAAAGTGTTTGATTCGTAAAGGACTTGCGATGCTTCTAAGTATATTGCACGGCAAATCCGAAGAACTTGGGGTTCAAGTTCATACTTCAGCGGTGGTTGGCTTTGTCCGTGTGGTGGAGTTCTTCTGGGCGAACTAGTACGATCGGCCACACTGCAGCTCTTGCCAAGAACGGGATTTACCAGCAAGAGCTCGTAGATCATGTCGCGCGTCTCCCGGGGGAGCTTTTCGAAGTATGAATGACCAGTGGATGGTGATGAGATTGTATTTGTAGGAGTACTTTCTATTGATTTTGTAAGATACGAGGCATGACTTGTATCGGAAACAGCTTGTGTTGGGCAGCCTGCATTTGTGCTGACGGCGGCCTGGTAGTTTTTGAGGTTTAATTTAACTTGATGATGAGGACTGGCAGTTGAGTTCGTAGTTGTCGGAATTTTAGTTTTCATATTACTGCTCGAAGCTGTGGCTATGGAGTCAACAACTTGATTTGATTTGGGTTTCATTGTGAACTGTCAAAGTATGTGTTAGCCACTTTTGCTCGTGCTTGTCTACCATTGATAACCCGAACAAACTTACCTGCGAGGATTAAGATGCAGTGAAAAGAGCTCTGTTAGAGTTGTGTGACAAATGAATAATCGAAAGAGAAAAGCTTCGAAGGTTGTGTGAAAAATAAAGAACTTCCGAACTAGCCGAGAGGGTTATAATTTGTAAATCAAATTCACTGGTAAAATATCAACTTCAAATAACCTGAAATAGAAGTTTGATTTCCTAGTACCTAGATTTCCAACCAGAGTCTTGTGACATGCACTGATCAACAGAATACCAACATGAAGGTTCTAATGGAATTCGCTGGAAGATGATTGCTTCATCTGATCAAAGTTTGCAGATGTATCATCAACAGCACATCTGACTCAAGATAAGAAGTCTTGGAAGATTTTTGTTTGAAATAAAGCATGAAGTTCTTGACAGCCTATGTGACAAACTGATATATGGCAATCACAACTTTTGTCCTCTGATAGTAGTGAGTGATGGTTTTTCCAATCTCTCTTCCAATCATTCACCATCTTCTTCTCGTAGTTCAGTCTCTGAAGATGTGTTCTCCAGAATCGACAGTTTTTAAGGATTCTGGAATTAAGACGAAGAATCTCTTCCTATTATTTGTCAGTAAAAGCTGCTGTTTGGAAGTATAAAAGGGAAAAAATGTATACAAAGGATCGAAACAACTGAGCATCTATTCACCAGGATTCTTGCTCAAATAACTACCAAACTCTCATACCCAGAATTCGAACATAGAATTGTCATTATAGATGTCATGAATAACATATTTGAGGCAAATCAGGAAGTCTTATGCTTCCATGGTTCTTGCAACGACCTGCTCCTCAAAGTAATATAGCATGTAATGATGATATTCTGGTACATTGGACTTGATATGTAAGGTTCAAGCGAGTTCCCATGTTCTCAGAAGAATGTAGCAGAGTAAGGTAAGTTGGTTCTGTAATAATGATCTAATTGTCCCTTGGAAGGAAGTGGACAATACGGATGGCAACGATATTCCACATCCCGAATGAACAGATATTCAGAGATTATGAGAGCGAACTGATACCAATCAGTTCTATCCGGAATTTTTCCAAGCCTACTTGCCATGAGCAACATCTACATCACTTTCTGTTGGTATGCTATGCCATAGTCTACACCACGCAGATTATTTGCGTTTGAATACCAGCTTGTTTCAAAGACCGGGGGTGCAACCGATTTGTGTGTTTTAGATTCTTCGGCAGCGCTAGAAGGCAGTGACGTGGGAAAGACTGCAATGGCATCGGTAAGACGCCGACATCTCGCCCAGTCAGTGGGCTCTACTTACAGATTGTTAGTTGATGAAGTTGTGGACATAATCTTAGGTATGTGGCACTCAGCCTTACTATGGTAGTTCATCCAGTTCCCCAATCGCAGAGAGACGGTGAAAGCCCAACACGACACATGACATGCATTTACCTACCCATATTCAAAGTTCTTCTGCCAGAGCAACTAGCATAATGTATCAGTACAACAGCATCCTTAAGTGTAAGTCAAATGATTTTGAAATAATAGTCAATCAAAGTCAAACAACTTTGATAATGCTGACAAGAGACGTCTGTATTAACATACCGAGGTAGCCAAAAATATAATTTACCATTTCCACGGACCGGAAATAAAACCAAGCTAGTGTTTTTATTCCCGGTCGACTCAATTGCCAAAATATTTCACAAAAGTACGCTAAGAATATCGTGGTGTCTGGTTTGGCAACTTGTCAATCCGACGTTTTTTTTTCAGATGTGCAACAAAACTGTTTTAGAGACATTGTCACGTGGAATGATACCGCTTTGGGCAGGATAATTAATTGATGGCAGCTTATGTAAGCATCGACTCCTCGTTTCCTCCCCTTTCGTTTGCTTCTTACACAAAGTCATAAAAGAGACATCAGACCACAAGATTGAATATCACCCATAGATGGATCAGTAATGATTCAGACCCTAGCCTACTCTAGCAAAAGCTTCCTCTTATGTTTATCGCAAAGCTGCGAACAATGAAGAACCCAAAACCACCATTCCGCTTTCGGAACATTTGAGGCAGGAAGTCCTGTGACTGGATGCAGCAATTTATTCCTTTATCTACAAACATATTTGATGATTATTGAGGTTATATATCATTGATGAGAAAGGATTCAATTGATTTTGGATCGGGCGCCTACCTGTACCTGTGTATCAATCTGATTAGGCTCTCAAGCTTCTTGTCTTAGCGGACGATATATCTGAACTGCTTTGTTTGTATCTTGCTGAGAAGCGTTCGAATATCGTCGGGACTTACCATAACATTTCTTATACTATCAGTCAGGTGCTACATGCTTCATATAATTTCAAGAAATCATACTTTTCATCAGCTTCACTCGACATCCCAACAATCCATGACATCCTACCTCCGCCCCGAGACCATCTACGAAGCTTCGTTCATCTCAGCTCGCAACCCAATTCGCATAAACATAGATCTTCGTCATCGCCAACCCCCCAACACCACCGCTAACTCCATGCCCGTCACCACCATGCTTAGCAGCTTTCTCCGCTCTCCTTTCTCCGCCCTAATCCACGCCCTCATTCAACTCTCCGCCGTTTTTTTCTACCTAGCTCTCCTCATAACAACCTGCTTCCTCTACAGCATTCGTTACCCTCTCCTCCGTTACCCATCTAACCCAATTCCTATCCTACCTGTATAACCAATTTCCCTCCGTCGTAAAACATAAAGCCGACATAATCTACGAAGAACGCCGCCAGCTCCGCCGCAAATACGCCGAAGCACGAACCGAGCGACTCCGCGAACGCAACGAAGTAGGTGAGCGAGAGCGAGCCCAAATGCGCGAAGCAGTGCGACGAGTGGCCTGGAAGAGGGGAGTTGGAAAAATGGATTATGGAATTGATTTAACTGAAGATGAGAAGAGGCACTTGTCATCCTCCAAGTCCAAACCAGAAGACAAATTCTCCAAAACATCAAAAGGCAAAGAATCAGGAGATGGGAATCAAGAGATTGAAGGATGGATAGAAGATGAGGTGATTATTCAATCACCCATTGAACTCCAAGAATCACTTGAGAAATTGGAAAATCAAGCAGATTATGGGAAAAGGGCGGGATACTGGGACGAAGAGGAACAAATGAAAGCGAAAGAGGCAGCGAAGATTTTATTGAGAAATGGAGAGGTGGAGGAATTCCCTAGGTTTGAGGACATGGATACTCGGGAATGAAGAGAGTGAAAATACAAGAAAGTGGATGAAATTGCAATCAAAAGCGTGAATACAGCAAGTTGGAAAACCAAATTTCTTGGCATAGTCTCACAAGCACATGAATTAAAATCGATAATCAAAAATCAAAAATCCTCACATCTACATGACCTAAGTAATTATCGGGGTCTTCACAACATCCCAAATTCACCTAATAACCCCTCCCAACCCCAAAAACTCTTGTTGCACATCTACCCAACCCCTTGGCATACCTAGAAGAATCTAGAACTCCATCTCCGCCCTTCCCCATGCTCTTTCAAATTGCAACTGACCCTATAAAAAAATCATCACACATCCTGTCCGTCTCAAAGAAATCCCACACAAGATTCCCACATGATGTTTTTCCTTTGTTGCTTCTTCTATCGGTAACGGATCACCGCATTGAGCCTAGCTGTATGTTTTTGTGTTATTATTTCCTCCATTTCTGTTGTATGTACCTAGTGTAATGCTTTCTTTGAGTTGTGGGGATTTTACTTCATTTTGATTCAGTTTATGTGAGGGTGGAGTTGATTCACTTATTTCCAAACTCTTCGGATGATTGATTGAAGTGAGGAGTTATTACTTAAAACACTCAACTTATCTGATTGATTATTCTTTTCAACTAAAGTTTTCAAATATCAATCTTTCACTCGGTGATAATCGTACTCATAGGATTTACATCAAGATCCAAAGATGTCTGTCTCGACTACAAAGACCACTGTCTCCTCTGCGCTTATCGTCTCTTCCTCCTCAATCCCAGTTATCTCTTCCTCTTCAACTACCACATCTACAATTTCCTCGGCACCAATCTCTTCTTCTTCTAGCACAGTCATCTCTTCCTCAACTCCAGTCGTCTCTTCCTCTCCCATTTCAATCTCAACACCATCGTCTTCGCCATCACCCTCACCCTCACAACCATCAATCTCCTCCGCCTCAACAACCCTCACACCTCCATCTCAACACACAGTCTCTCAAACCCTCTCCCCGTCCCACATATCCGCAGAACCATCTTCTCTCCTACAAATAGCCACTCCGATTGCCATTCCTCCTCCTACAGGTACTTCTATATCTCGTATGTCCAACTCCCCTCTCATCTCCCTTCCTTCCCTTCAATCCCCCAAACTCCCATTATAAACATCACTTCCCCCCACCCTCGAACTTCTCCTCAAATAATAACTAACAAGCCTCCCCCTCCCTCAAGTCCTCACCCAACTCCAAGAAGCCCTCGACTTCACCTCCACCCTCCTCGGTCTCTTTTTCGTTTCCCTCCTCACCCTCCTCTTCATCTACTGGAGCACGCTCTACATCTTGCGAAAACCGTCGGTATAAACCCCCGCGACACATCACCCATCGCGCAACTAAAAACAAAAACAATACCTCCACTCTCCAACCTCCCCCAAATCACCCACCTCCCTTCAAACTACCACCCCGTTCCCCCCAAAGAAAGAAGTAGGATTTGCCCCCCACCCCTCCGACCCCGAATTCGTGCTCTCAAAACAAAAAGCCCAAGAAACCAAACGTCGGCTCTCCTCTATCCCACAATCCCTAACTCCCCCACCTCTCCTACCTCCACCACCCCTCCCCCCTCCTCCTCCCCTCCATACACACCTCTCCCCTCCTCGCAGCCCTGGCCTACTGACGGCGTCCAACTCGCCGGTCTCGGGTCCGTCCCCGATTCCGAAAAAGATAAAGTGGAGCAATAGCGCAAGCTACGGGTTCCGAGGAACTAGGCGAGGCATCGGGAAGGAAAAAGGAGGATGTGGTGGCGGAGGCAGATTTGGAGTTCAGAGGGGAGTGAGGGATGTGAGTGGGGATACGGATGCGATTGAGAGGAGAGGGGGGGAGGAGTTATGGGGCTTTGTAGATGGGAGGAGAGAAATGGTGGAGATGGGGATGTATGACTCTGCGGTTTTGACAAGTGCGGAGGATAAAATGGATTGCGAATGCAGAGAAAGATCCTCCTTCATTTCTCCGTCCACTCAAGGAGTTATCGTACTTCGTGGTCAGATGAAGACGAACTAGCAGTATTGAAAGGGCTATAAAGGAAGCGAGCGGTGTAAGGAAGGAAAACGATGAACACAAATTTCTGAAAATGCAACACGAACTTGAAGGAATTTTTTTTAATTCTAGTGACGAGTATCAGAAAGAATACAGATGTGATAGAGAGGAAGAAGATCTCACGGAGCTTTCTGATCAGATGAAAAAGATGAAGTCATGAGGGAGGGAATGGTATAGGAAAAGGATGGAGCGAAGATGATGAGCGGAAAGAAATGTCGGATGAGATTGCCGAAAATAGAAATTTCAGTCTTAGTATCTTTATGATAACGGAAATCAATTGCAATACAAATATATCAGGCCGTCCCCTCTCTTCTTCTCCCCCCCTCCTCTTTCTCCATCCACCCACTAAGAAATTCCGACTCACACCACGAATGAAAATAGATATGCCGATCTCATTCTCAATCCCCCCTCCATAGAAAAAAACTCGCGTTCCTGTAAGTACTGAACTTCGATGCCACAAAACCATAGCAATCTTCATTCCCCTGGCATCTATTCAGCCGAACGGCAAGTTTTACGTTTCACACCAGCAATCCGATCTAGAGCATCATCCAAAATCTGCACTTCCTTTTCCGTTGTCTTCACAAAATTATCCCAGGAATCGATAGACAACTTTGTCGTGAGAAAAGATTCCTCGTCAAGAGAACTTATCAATTCAACTGTCCCTTGCCCATCGAGATTCAGGAACTCCACCAAAAATGGGATGTGTCGGGGCCCTAGGAGAACAAGATTCAACGGCGGATATGATCTTATTTCCGAGCCTCTCTCTGTACAGTAATATACAATGCTACAATACAACATGCACTCAAAAGTGGAGTTCTTGTACAATGGGCTGAACGGTCCCAGTGTCAAAGCATTTTTGTGGTGGCTCTTCTCGAAAAGATAGAATGCGAGTAGAAGAATACTGCGTGGAATTTGATGTACCCTCTCCAGTGGAAAATGGTAATTCCAGCGACCGAAATGGTACGGTAGCGAGTAAAATTTAGTGGGGTGAGACCAAGATTGAATCATATCGAGCGCTAATAGAAGAGAGGGGTTTTTAAGTTTCTACGACAAAAATTAGTGATCAAGAAAACCAACATTGACAGTCTTGAATATAGCGAGTATTCTATCTTACGTAGTAGATCAATTTTCAAACTTCATGTCTGAAAGATCATCTATTTCAAGAGGATACTTGAATACAGAGAGGTCGAATGTAGAATCGATGGGAATGGCAGCACCAAGTTTTCGAATGAACTCATTCAGAACTGTTTTCCTAGTATCGACTATCCGAATCTCTCGGTCTTGGTCTGACTCGACCGCTGGTGGAGAAAGTATTATTGAGTCTGGTATGTTGACTTCTCCTATTATATGATGCTGTATGTCTTCATCCTCAATTATCGGTGCTGGGGTATCGCAATCAATATAACAAGGAGTTTCTAGAGCAATCAGTATCAAAGAGAAATCTCACCTCCAGAATTAACATACCAACATTAAACTCAAGGATTGACTCCTCGGTTACTTTATATCTCTGCGCGAAGCGTTGAATCTTCTTTGGTTCAACTTCCCGGCCATTAATGCGGAACTCGCTGTTCTTTCCTTCGCGTTTCCTCTTCAAGTCTTTGCGTAGAATAACTCTCATGTCATTTTCCTTAATGTTCTTAACCAACTTCCATTGTTCAATTCGTCGCTTGTATTGTCGTAGCCTGCAGTTTTGAATCAGTTAGCTGTTATAGGTAGCAGTCACCAACCCTGAAAAATTCACGTTGCACGGAATCCATATTCATTTTCCATAATTTTCATCACCTCATTGAGATGCTTGTCTTCAGTCGTGTAGAGTTGAGTGAAATTTATTCTCTGGCGCTCCCACTCTTCTGCAGAGTGTTCCTTGGGAGCAGGTCTAGCAGGGACCTTCGATGGAGGTAACATAGGCTTAACCATAGATGGATTCGCATGATCTGTGGTAATCGAAGGCACGGTAGGTGTATCATTGTAAGGCAATGAAGGCTGGGTGTACGAATAGGAACTGGTGGAGGGTAAGAGCCATGAAGGTATAGATGATGCTGATGGATCGAGAGCGCTAGTTTCCAGTTCCGATCGTCCAGTACCATAATCGAAATCTTCCGATGCATTGAAGTCCTCTAAAAGAATCCCTGAGAATTCTTGCGGCATTGCTTCGCCGTTGAGGCCAAAATCGAAATTGGTGGCCATTTCAACAAGCTCTCCAACTCGGTAGAACAAATGAATTCAAACACGTCAAGTCAAAGTATCAAGACACAATGAGAGTAAAGATGCAATTGAAACGATAATCAATAATACCACTATCGAAAAAACAGTGAAATCAAAGCTTTATATATCCCAACCCACCCAGGTCCCAGAAGTTCCTTCAGCCTTGCTGACACCTCATGCGTGGTCCTTTTGTTTCCAACCCCAGTAACTTGAACCTTGACATGGTACTTTTGTTCACTCCCGAGGTCTGCATGGGACTTTGTAATTGTGTCTGGAACTGCGCCTGTGGCTTACAGGGTACGAAACGCCTGATGAAATCTTTGCACCGAATCAATGGACGAATGAAACAAACACCCAAGTAGATCCTTTAACCCTTTTCTTTTCATTCCCAGATCCATGATGTACAATTACCCCACCTAGGTACTCATAGTTACAATGAATGAATGATTCATGATTCATGAAAAGTTCAACACGCAAGAAAAAGCCTTGGAATGAACGATAAAACAAAACCTCGCAAAACTAATCTTACAAAAGTACACACGCCACAAACAAAAACAAGCTAAGCACCAACCACGTGATGTCTTCTCTCCACTCCTCACACCCCCTCCCCTCGTTTATCCAGTACCCCCAATCCAGCAAGCACCACCTACCTACCTGCTTACCTACCTAGCTACCTACCTAGATACACATCCCTAATTCCCTTTCATGATACCACATCAGCCACTGCTTACTGCCCCATCGATAAAACCACACAACCACACACATAATTCTCGAGTCTACCAGAGACATACAACCACATGCAGTTATATTGGACGCTCCTCTCCAAGAGTACTATTTGTATACTCTCCTCTATTCTCTCTTCTGTTTTATTCACTTTCTCAATCTTTTGCTATTACTCTCGAAAGATTATGCACCACACAAACCAGACCCCGCATCAGATCCTACCTACTTCTCTCATTCCTCTCACTTCCCTTTCCCCTTCCCCTCACTCACTCACTCACCACCAAGACTCACCGCCAAAACTTCCAGCTCAATCAAAACATCAAACACAACACCCAGCACTTTCCACAAGCTCGAGCTGTCTCATAAAGCGAGTAGGTCTCAACGACCAGCCAGTTCTCCCCCCCCTCGCTCCGCCCGCCCCCCTGCTCTGCCTCCCTCCCCATTTCATCCTTTCATAAACCCGCTCTCAACATACAACAAAGACCCCCAACAGTATCCAAGCTCACATATCACATACCTCCTCTACCTCGCCAAAACACTACACAACCAACCACCACCTACCCAACCACAACTCCACCAATCCAGCCTAGCCCACACATCAACCACATAACTCCAAACCATCACAGCCGCATTCTCACAATCAGTAGAATATACATACACTCTCACAATCTCACACTCTCACACTCTCACACTCTCACACTCCCTCACACTCTCACGGTTCCTAACAACCCAAAAACCAAAATATAAGAAAATGAAATCGTTCATAAAAGCTACCACTAGATAGATATATCCTCAGCTCTACCCCAACCTCCAACTCTAGTTACCCAATATCCAATACCTAATATCTAATAATTAAGTATATATATAAACCCTTATCAAACATCTCCTCTCATCTCACCTCATCTTCCCTCTTCCTCCCCTATCCACCCACCCATTCCACACCTTCATCTTACCCACCTATACAATCACTACAATCCTCACCCCCTCTCACCCCCTCACACTATTAAAACCCCCTCAAACCAAAATATGAAGCCAAGAAAAATATTGGAACCATGTAACCATTTAAACCATTTAATAAATAGCCATTTATCCATCTACTCTAACCGCCTAAATAGATAAATAATCAAGTATTATATCTTGTTACCTCCTCTCTATTCCCCTCCCTTGTCCTCTCCCATCCTCTCATCTCCTCTCCCTCCCTTTATCTCTCCATCCACCAAAGACAGCGATCCAAAGATCTAAGATCTAAGTCTACCCCCTTCCCCTCCTCCACCTACCTCCCCCAACCCTCATCGATTCTATTCTATCGATTCTATCCCATCATATCTATTCATCAGTCTAAACCCACGCCCAGGTCCCAAATCAAATCAGACACCATCCAATTAATCGAAATACATGCAAAATAGGTCATGAATTTCTCTTTCTTTCTTTCTGTCTTCCTCTCTCTATTTATTTTTCACTTCCCCGCCTCCATTCACCTAACTCATATAATTTTCACTCCCCTTCTATCCCTCTAAGCACTTCCAGTACCATTTCCACCAATCGCTCTAGGTAATCCCATCCACTTTTCCTTTCCAGGGATCTTTACTCTTCCAAACTCCTGATCCAAATCTAAAATGATTTTCAACGCATTTCTACTTCTCAAATAATGAAGTGGTCCATCCTGACCTGGCAATGTGGCGGCACCCGCTACACCAACATGAGGTCTCTCATCCTTGGCATGACCTGGCATTGGAAGAAGATTTTGAAGAACTTCATACGCAGCCAAGGTGAAACCGAATTGTGGGGAAGATCTAAGGATACGAGCTGGTCCACCCTTGAAGAATGCTTTGAATCCTTCTTCTTTCAAGATGGTTTTTGCGGCATGACGAAGAGATGTATATTGAGATTCTCCCTTTCTGGCTTCAACTTGTAATCTGGTTTTGATAACATCACAAGGTGTAGTCAAATAAGCAGCTGGCATACCCGCAATGGCACCAGCAGTCAATAAATGCACAACACCCAATTTTTTGGTTTGACTTTCACCAAAGAAGTCGCGCTTCAAATGGTTATATGTAGGGAAATAAATCATGGAGAAAGGAACATCACGGAGGAGACATGCTGATGCTCCTTTGTAGAGACCGACAAGACCAAGGTTACGAACGATCCACATAGCTGAGCGGCGAGGAGTGCCTTCAACACTTTTCGCGACTTCTCCTTGAACTTGTAGACGAATTTTGACGATCTCAAGGGGGTTAGTGAAGACCTGTGCGTGATTTTAGTATACTTTCAAAGTGGGGCGGAGGGGTAAATATTAACTTACCACTTGACAACCACCGGCCATACCACCAGCAAGAATTTCATGCCTAAGTTGAATCTTGCCATCCTTGGAGGAGAAATGACCACGAACAAGATCATTGACTGTCAATTTGATAGCCTTTTCTGGAGCAACACCAACAAGTTGTGGTAAAACACCAGAATATAAACCCTTGAACCCCTCATTGCGCACAACCTTCTTAGCACAATCCCAAGAATTCTTGTACAACATTTCTCCAACTCTTGAAGATCTTTGATTTTGCATACGAGTTTTGACAAGATCGATAGGGTATACCATAAATGCGCCAAAAGCTCCTGCTAAACTTCCCAATGCGAAATGATGTACAGATTCGAGAACGCTATACAGAACACTTCCACCAGCTGTTTTCACACCATTGCCGTTAGCCCTTTTATCGTAGGCGTTGTACAAAGGATTGCGCCATGAGGCATCGAGGACCTTTGCAAAATCAGATAATCCGAGTCTGCCAGAAGGATTATCCAGACTGGCAAAGTGGAATAAAATATCGGCTTCCATAGGAGTGAAGAGAGAAAATCTAGTAATTCTTGCAGCTTCATTTAGGAAATCGGTTCTGGTAATCTTTCCATCGGTGCTTTCTGCAGTTGCCTGTCGAATGACCATCTCCACCAAGTCCATCTCCCTAATCATATTTTGGAATGCTCTAACATTTGCGTATGAAATCTTGCTACCAGCCGAGATATTGCAGAGAGTATGTAAATTTTCGAGAAGATGATCCGAGAGTTTATGTTTTGCTGTTTCGAGAATAATTCTTTGAAACTCCTCTGGTTCAATATATCCATCTCCATCTTTATCAAAGTGGTGGAAAGCTTGACGTATTCTCTCTCCTTGTAAACCTCGAAGCATCTGCGAGAATTGTGGATAAGTCAAATCATGTCTTCTCTTCTTTCCTCCACTGTATAAAGTAGCCCATTCGCAACTCCAATCGAAAGGTATGGAATCTGGACCCTTGTTTAATTCATATAACTTCTTCAAATCATCATATTTGACAGTGCCGGTTCGCTCGATATCGAAAAGACGGAATGCGATTTCATATTCGGCATCGGGTTTGGCAAGGAGATTTTCGAAAGTTCCCCAATCATGTAAACTGATTTTACCAGTATTTCTTTGATCAGCTACACGGAATAGAATTGCATATTGTTCTCGTTTGATTTTATGCTAGAAGGAAATCAATTATGTTAGTTATGACTCTGAAAAGGGAAGAATGGCATAAACGTAAAACATTGACTCACATAATCTTCTCCTTCCGGCGCAATGGCATTTACAAAATCTTCCTCAGTCATATAATCCTCAGCTCCGGACTCATCCTTCCGCGAATTCTTCTCAAAAGTAGCTTTCGATTGAGCGGAAAGTTGAATATCCTCTGCCACAGTTGAGCCCAACAATGACTCCTTCACCACCCCCTTCGCCGTTGTGAGATCTGTCCCTGTCATGATTTGACCCTTTGAATCTGCAACTCTCCAAATAGTGTGTTAAATTCGTCCAATGGATACTGTGTACTTGGGATGAGTTTCTTTTGAATGAGTGACCGAAATTCGGAGGAAGATCTGCGAGGAATTGTGGAGTTTCCTGGAGTTTCCGCACTCAAACAGGAATTGAATTGTCGAGTTGTCAGACTTGGGATAATTTTTCTTTTTTTCTCTTGGTCGAGGATATCGTGAGCGAGCTGACAATTGGTGAATTGGTACGACCAGCAAATCTCAACGGTCAACGGTCAACTTTCTTTTTTTCTTCTTTTCCCTTCTCAATTGAAGTTAAGAAGAATAAGACAACGGGACCAACCAAACTTTTATCTACCTAGCTCCAAGCAATTCAACGATTTCTCCAATTGGAGAGGAAATTAATACTGGGGAAGATGGGGGCGAATCTGGGCTGGTATGACTGTAAGAAAACAAAAAATTAATTTTTGAGTCGGGATTGATTCCGAAGAGTTGCCGGGTTTATTCATTAATAAGAGTATCGTAGAAAGTGCGAAATCTCTCACCCACTTTTAAATTCATCATCAATTGATTGGAACATGAATGTGAATATGAATGTGATTATCTTGAATGGAGGGGAGGTAGAGTTTTAAGAAGGAATTCGTTCTATTCTTTTATCTTTTTATAATTGGGTATATATATGTGTAGAATATTTCTATCTATCATATCTTCATTTCCAAAAAAATCATATAGTCCGATGCACGAGTAGACCATTGATCAATACTGTTACACACACTGTCGGGAAGCCCGAGTAAAGACTATTCCTCTTTCAAATACGATATCATCTGATGTATGGAGTATAAAGCATCAAAACAAAACGTCAAAAGTATTGCCAAGCCGCATGAGTATCGTAGATGTAACTCTACCTCCCTGACATTACTGATTCTACACAATACTCTCATCAATCTTCTCTCCTCGCTCCTCGGCAACCCGTTCAGCTTGTCTTCCTTTCCTCCATCTCCATTACCGGACCAACAGCCACAGTTCTGCCAGGCCGCAAATACTACTCGATACGTGCGCATATATTCATCCCGTCCCCCCCGCTCCCCAAGAATGGATATACCAAGAAAGGTACCACAATTATTAAACTTCTCTGTAAGTAATACAACGTTGTTATCGTTACGAGGAGACGAGGAAGTTAATTCTCGGCTATCTTTGAAGAACTACCGATAGAGGATGAGGGTTGTTAACATCTGATCACTTATATCTGCTTGATAGAGGATTTTCTACTTGCTATCTACTGGACACTCGATAATACATATTAAATCACTCATTATAACACCAGGGTTCAACAAATATAATCAAATCCAATCATTTCTCTATTACACTCAACCACACACAAACAAAACCTAATCATTCGCTTCCCTCCCTCCTTCCGCAATCCTACCCAACACTAAAAATCTACACCTCAATCAGAATCCAAATTCAACATCAAATCGGCCAGCAACATTTCAACAGTGAAAGCTAAAATCAAAATTACAAACCACTCCAACTCCAACACCCACCCCAATCCCCCCAGGACCCGCCCTTTTTCCTCCCGCCTTCCCATCCCTTCCACGGCCTTAGCATCCGGCTTACCCACAAGTCTACAAGCCCACCTAACATGCCCAATATTCTTCAGGGTCACGCACCCCTCCTATACTACACCCACAACTCTAATTTCTCCCCATCATCTACTATCTATCTATCTATCTATATATTACTACTCATATATTTATTTACACTATCAATTCATCAATTTATCCATTTACCTTTCTCTCAATCGAACTACCTACCCACCTATCTATCTATCTATTTATCTATTCACCTAGATATTTACCTATTCACCTAATTATTTATATACCCATCTATCAACCTACCCATCCAGCAACCCATTAGTTCCCATATACTAACCAACCAACTAACAAACTATCTATACTTATTACTTCCGAATTGGTATAAGATATCAAGAAATTTTACATAAAACTTACAACTTATCTAGTTCTTTAAGTCTATTTATAATCTATTCATTAATCACCTATCGAGATATCTATCTATATCTATCTATCTACCTATCTTACATACATACATACCTACCTATCTATCTACACAGATATACAAATATACAAGGACATACAATATTCAATATTTATATCCAAACCCAAACCCATATCCAAATCTACACCACCTATCACCCCCCACCAATCCCCCCCCACCAAAAACAACCCAGAATCAGAGTCAGAATCAGAGTATATTCTCAAGCTGCTTCTAAAATACTCTCTTACTCTAAACCTCTTGCCTAGCATACTCCAATCGACATTGACCCTATAGATATTGATTTACCGTGATGTTTGGAGATTATCTTAATACATATATACTTTTTTAGTGTGTACTTTTTATTAGGTGTATGCTTTATTGTATGCTTTGGTGTATGTATGATCTAGAGAATAGAATCTCTTATAATCCCCCCCTTTTTCCTCCCCTCCCCTCTCCCCTTCCTCCCTCTCTCCTCCCATCTCCCCTTCCTCCCTCTCTCCTCCCCTCTCTCCATCAACCCAATCACCCAATCACACTCCCAACTACTCAATTACACTCCCTCAACTACTCAATTACACTCCCCAATTACTCAATTACTATCCCATTCAATTACACTATCCCATCCCATCCCATCCCATCCCATTTTATATTATCCTATCCGTTACTCCCCAATTACACTATCCCACCCCATCCTCACTTATCCCATCTCATCCTCACTCATTTCATTCTTATCTATCTCACCCCATCAAACATAAACAAAATCCGTCTCAGCCATTATCGCCCGTCATCAACCAATCAACCATCCGCCCAATTTTCAGGGGAAAACGGCAAAAGAAGCGAATCCTCCATCACCCCTAGTCCCCCTTTTCGGATAGTTCTAATGACAATCACATTTATTAGATCCTTCATCTCATTATATCTTTTTGCTATTACACCCTTGTACCTACCTAGAGCAATTTTCTTAAGTTTCACAATTTCATTCATCAAAGTCACAACAAAACACACAAACATGTTTTTATCTTAATTTTATTTTTCAATATGAGATATTTTTATCATATGCCAATACTTCTTCATGGTATCTTGGGAATACAATTCATTCCAATCCCATCCGTGGATGAGATGATGAGAATCAGAACTTCCGACGACGAAACAATTGCAATAAGAAACGGAAAAAAATACAGAATTGTCCCCTGCCATTAAACTCCCCATATGATGTAAGATTGATAAGCAGTACATATCCGATCTGGATATATTGCCGCCCATTTGCTTTGATTTTCCTCCCCCTTCTCAATCCATTGTCCCTCCTGCACCAGGTAAAAAGCAAATAACTCAAAAAGTCATGGTATCATCAGATCATGAAAGTCGTGATGCTGCAAAGGTATCTGCCCTAAATTCCAGAAGAGGATATAAAAGCCATATCATTGAGCAAAACCCTCTCCCTCACTAAAAAACCAGGAAGGAGAAGAACAAAACCAGTAAAATAAAAGCCAACCATTATGCGTTGTGCAAAGTGATGACGGCAACCAATTGATTTTGTATGCAACGCCGCCAACGCCACTGTGAAGCAATGTGGTCTAATGAAGGGGTATGGTAAAAGTGGATCCAGATGTTGTTTAAATCGAAATGCCAAAGGAATGGTAGTCGATTCAAAATCGTATCTGGTCCAATAAAATACAGTGAATTGAATGTTGTGTGATGTGTTGTTATAAAGGATTATTGTAATTAAGATTCTTAGGTTCTTGCTTGAACCATTCGCTGAGAGTTCTCCTCGATGGACAACAATGGGTCAAAGGTAACATTTTGGTATTGAGAATCGAGGCGTAAAGGAGCTGGAATAGATGGAGATTGTCGGCGGCGATTGATACCTGGGATTTGGAAGCCCTTGATCATTTGATCCTCGACGTAAGTAGATGCTCTCTTGTAACGGCGATCGGAATATTTCTCAAAGACAGCAGCATGGTGTTTTCGAGCATTCTCGCAGCACTCAATAACCAAGGCAACCAATGGTTTCAACTGATTCCAAGTATAACCAGAGTAATAAACATGGGCTGGAGACCAATCACCTTTGCTGAGCATGAACCTAGAAACAGCATGGGATGCAGCAGCAACAAAACTTGGTGGGCTACCGACAAATCTTTCATCCATGATGGTGACCTCCAAGAAGTACTTGGCCAATGTTCGAGTTTCAAGATCATAATCATCAGCCTTACTGATGCGACGAAGAAAGCTCATTGGTCCAGGCCATCCCAACTCGAATTGAAGCATACTGAGCATGAATCGCTCTGCCTTGAGAATTTCTTCACTGCTGTAACCACCATCAACCATGTAGACAATCTCTCCGATGGAAGGACAGTTGATTTCTTCGTACTTGGCAGCAACAAAGATGGCGGTAGCACCAACCAATTGAAGCTTGCCAAGCGAAACGACCTTCTTCGAAAGGAATCTATCAATGTAGTTGACGCAAAGGAAGAGGGTCTCGGGTAGTAGAGAGAATCGTTGGTGAACCTGGATCAACCAATCCATCAAAACAGATCGCATTGACCATTGGATCTCTGCTTGTGTGTCCATGTAGTGTGGGTCGGGAAGAAGTTTGTTCTGTGGTTGAAGGTTTGTCAGCAAAGTGTAAAACAAAATCAATCAGAGGCAGCGTGAACAAAAAAGGTCTCAGTAGTGACCGCTGTTGTTGTTCCATGATGAGCTAGACCAAAACCGTTCCCCAAGCATAACAATGAATTTTAGAAATCACTAACCTCAAGCTCTCTCATGTATGAGAAGATCTCTTCGCCATACTCAGCTACCATGCTGGTGTCCCACATCTCGTCCTCGATATCTTCTTGGGTTCGAACAGACTCGACAAGAATCTTGGCATCCTCAAGCTCCTTCTTAACCTTGTTTGTGACCTTTGGGACGATAACCGTGGTTGCTCCTCCAGTGGTATTCTCCCCTCGGAACGAATGGGCGGTTGTATAGCCTTGGTCGTCATAGGCCTCTTCTTCATCCTCGGGCCAATATTCTTCGGGTTCGGAGACAATTGGTGCAGCTGGCAATTGCTTTTGTGACTTCAACTTCTCGGTGATAGCAGACTCATCCTTTTCCTTGATAGATCGGAGGTGAGATTCGTTGACGTTCTCCTTCAAAGGATCCTCCGAAGCGTTGTGATAGATTGTGGGTTCAGCATTGTCAACAGCATTGCTTAACTGCTTGCTCTGTGTTCGTCGTAAAAGCGGTTGTTCGGCCTTGATCTCAGGTTGACTCTTAGCATGTCTGGGACCGAGGGTTTGATGGGCTGAACTAGTCGAGGCAATTGGCTTTTGCGCCAGTGGTTGAATCTTTTCATTTTCGTTATCCTTGTATACCGCACCCTTCTTAGCCAAAGTATTGCGCTTGGTGTTATTTGCTTGTGGTTGTTTTTGAAGTGGAGCAATAGAAGGTTGTTCGGAAGTAGATGTAGCTAATGGTGCTTTGAGGCCATTGTTGAGTGGTCGTTGTGCTGGCTTTGAAAGTGCAGCTGACTTATCCTGAGTAGCAATAGGCTTAATGGTTTCGACAGACTTGCCATTAACGGCA